AGGAAAACGTAAAAAAAAGCGCGGACAAACTGAATCTACCGAGGTCATTTACATTTCAACAGGACAATGATCCGAAACATTCTGCTCATGATGTGCGTATGTGGCTAACAATGAATATCGCACATGTCCTGCCACATCCACCGCAATCTCCAGACCTCAACCCCATTGAGCATTTGTGGGAGGAACTGGACAGACGTGTAAAAAGGCGGCCCATTTCCAATAAGTCAGAACTTAAGCAGGCACTTATAGAAGAATGGCAAAAAATAGGGGAGGAAACTACCAAGAAATTAGTGCATTCCATGCCAAACCGTTTGGACGCAGTAATCAAGCAAAAGGGCTTGCCAACAAAGTACTAAATAGACAAATATTTTATGTATTTAAGATATAAATATAAGTGTGCCAATACTTTTGTGCGATGAAATTGCCTTATTTTTTTGTTAAATAAAATATTAAAAAGTTTTAAAAAACAAAAACAAAATAAAAATTTCTGAATTAGTTAAGTAACAATATGGTTTCTTTTGGAAAAATATTTTTTTTGTGTAGACTGGGAGACGGTGCTGAAAAATAGCGGTCAAGTTAAAAATTGATGATTGTGCCAATACTTATGTGTGGCACTGTATATGGAAATTTTCAGGAATATCTATTCAGCGGTTTTCGATTCCATAAATTACAAACATACAGACATTTTCCTCTTTTATACACGCAGAGAAAAAAATATGGTTCAGCCAACAATATTCGAAGAGCAAAATATATATGGTAAATATATGGTTGGATTCTATTATGTAATATTGTCGCTGCAAACATGTTTTTGGTTAGGCTGTGTTAACTGTATACATATAAATGTTTGCCCCAACCAGTTTCATGGTTGTCCCAATCATTTGATTGGTAAGATTTTATAAAACGTTCTTTTAGCCTGAAAATATATATTTTAAAAAGGTACAATATATATGTTTTCTGTAACGATTTACATGTTTGTCCCAATCATTTGATTGGTAAGATTTTATCAAATGTTTTCTTGGCCTGAAAATATATATTTTTAAAAAGTTACAATATATATGTTTTCGGCAATTATTTACATGTTTGTCCCCATCATTTGATTGATAAGATTTTACTAAACTTTTTTTTGGTCTGAAAATATATATTTTAAGAAGTTACAATATATATGTTTTCCCCAACCATTTACTTGTTTGTCCCAATAATTTGATTGGTAAGACTTTACCAAACTTTTTTTTGGCCTGAAAATATATATTTTTAAAAAGTTACAATATATATGTTTTCCCCAACCATTTACTTGTTTGTCCCAATAATTTGATTGGTAAGACTTTACCAAACTTTTTTTGGCCTGAAAATATATATTTTTAAAAAGTTACAATATATATGTTTGCCCCAACCATTTACTTGTTTGCCCCAATATTTTGATTGGTAAGATTTTACTAAACTTTTTTGGCCTGAAAATATATATTTTTAAAAAGTTACAATATATATGTTGCCCCAACCATTTACTTGTTTGTCCCAATAATTTGATTGGTAAGATTTTACCAAACTTTTTTTGGTCTTAAAATATATATTTTAAAAAGTTACAATATATATGTTTGCCCCAACCATTTCTTATACTCTACCTTTTTAATATTATGTATATTATTAAAAACATCTTGGATAGTGTTTTATAAATCAAATTTTATTTAATTTTACAGGTAATAATATAAATTAACATATTAAATCTAACATATAGTATACAATTATTAATATTACGAAAATGGAATTGCATTTAGTTTATATAAAAGCAGTCTTCTTTGGATGTACAAATATATCCCGTATAATTTGATTCTAAATATAATACATTGACAGAAAGAAAAACATTTTCATATTCTACTCTAAATGCATGGTAGTGCGAATCAAATCCATGTGTTAAAAGTCTTTGAACGCACAGGAAAAAACTATCGTCGAAACAACAAATATGAATAATGAGTCCAAATAATGGAATGTTATCATCATATTCTCCAATTTGAATAACCATTCCAGGTTTAAAATAAATTTCATTGTATTGAAGATTGGATAAGACACGCAATGGTACTGTAGACAAAATATTATATTTTCGGAAAGTATCGCTGGTCATTTCCACAGAATGACCTAATTCTATTTTAGCATCTAAAATATCTGAATAGTTAATTAAAAAGTCAAATAATTTAACTTCATATTTTGTGTATATAGTTTTCAGGAGATTAATTTTATTATTAGAGCTGTTACATATTTTTTTTAATTCCTTATGAAGAGATTCAAATCTCATTGAAGAAATATGTTTCAAAGGTCCAATTTGTTTCATAATATTTGCATAGTGTAACAAGTTATGAAATTTTGGTTGCAATGTTGATTTTGTAAGTTGCATGTACAAATCGTTGTGTTCGCACACTAGCTGTTGAAAATGTTCAGGAACACCAGTTTGAAATGAATCTGATTCACATGCTATAAAAACTATTTTTTTTAATAACAAAAATAGCGACCATTCTTGACAATCAGGCACTAAATCTCCTATAATTAAATTTAGGCACCTTACGAAAACTAATATTTCAGAAGAAGATAATTTCAATTTAATTTTTTTCTGGAAATCTTGACTCAGTATAGGTGGCTTGCTCCTGCTATTGATTGGACCATAATTGAAAGTTAGCAATCTATAATTTAGTTGGTCTATACTAAAGAATTCGTAATCCTTTATGAAACGAGTCAATATAAAAATTAAAACGTAATGACATACTCCTTCTAATAAATCATGCATAACGTCGACACTATAATTCCTTGTTACATGAAATAGTTTTAAATTATTCCAAATAGAATTTTCTTTTATACCGGTGGTCTTAAAATCATTAAGACCTACATCAGAACTATAATTATGAGGATTTCGTAACATTTCACTATTTTCATAAACTGCCATTTTGTTAACTTCTCGATGCTGTTTACAAAAACGACAGCAAAAATTGCTGGAAAATGTTTCAGAAAAGCCAAGAATTGTATTGAGTCCAAGGTTGTCTCCCAAAATTAGAGAAGAAATTAATTTAATTTTTTTTTATAAGATTTCCTTCAAATGAGATTTCTTCATGAATATCTATTCCAATTTCTTGCAAACTATTAAGTTCATTTATAAATGCCTCAAATACGCGTTTGTTACCGAATAAACAAACATATGAGACAATTTTGACTGAAGATATTCGGGAATACAAGGAATTTTAATGTAAACCCCACCAAGTTTTTGAAAGCCAGCGTGAGAACCTAATGCGTTATCTGGCTCAAATTCATCGAAATATACGAAAAGGGGTAAAAACAATGTATCTGACTTGTCATTACAATTTAGTTTCTCACGCCAAAGCTTACTTTGAACAAAATTATATATAACATTCGGATCACGTAGTTTTAAACAACTTATGTAAGATACAACTTCAGTCAAAAATTTAGTTTTATTAAAAAGTTTAAAAAAAAACCAGTAAGGAAAGCTCAAAAGTCGGGCGGGGCCGACTATATGATACCCTACACCACTATGCATATTTAGTAGAGCTCTCGTAAAAAGGTTTATGCAGGGCATTTCGGAGCTCTATGAGATATTTGGTACAAAATCAAAATCTATCTAATTCTATCGTGCATTTTACGAACTATAGCTATCTCTGAGCCGGGTTTCTCCAAATTTTACGTATTAGCTTCTAGACTGGTGATTTGGGCTGATATTGACCATTTAGTGCACATTTAACCCGAAATCGGATGAAGATATATATGGGAGCTATATCCAAATCTGAACCGATTTCGATAAAATTTAAAACAGCTATTCCTGTGCTCCATCTAATACCTGGTACCAAATATCACGGTTGTGGAGTGAATATTACGAATGTATGGGACTAAAACTCTAAATCGGATGAAACATATATATGGTTGCTAAATCTATATCTGAACCGATTTTCACTAAATTTGATATACTTGCTTCTAGGCTGAATTTGGTCCGATGTACTAAAATTCAGTCCATTTGGACTTATATCGGCCATTTGGTGCACAATTAACCCGAAATCGGATGAAGATATATATGGGAGCTATATCCAAATCTGAACCGATTTCGATAAAATTACAAAAAGCTATTTCTGGGCTGTATCTTATATCTGGTACCAAATATCATTCTTGTGGAGTGAATATTACGAATGTATGGGACTAAAACTCTAAATCGGATGAAACATATATATGGTTGCTAAATCTATATCTGAACCGATTTTCACTAAATTTGATATACTTGCTTCTAGGCTGAATTTGGTCCGATGTACTAAAATTCAGTCCATTTGGACTTATATCGGCCATTTGGTGCACAATTAACCCGAAATCGGATGAAGATATATATGGGAGCTATATCCAAATCTGAACCGATTTCGATAAAATTTAAAACAGCTATTTCTGTGCTCCATCTAATACCTGGTACCAAATATCACGGTTGTGGAGTGCATAGTAGAAATGTGAGAGACTTAAAGATCAAATCGGATGAAAGATATATATGGGAGCTATAGCTATATCTGAACCGATTTTCTCCAAATTTGATATACTTGCTTCTAGGCCGAACTCGGTTGGGTGTGCCAAAATTCAGGTAATTTGGACTGATAGTGGATATTTGGTGCACATTTAACCCGAAATCGGATGAAGATATATATGGGAGCTATATCTAAATTTGATCCGATTCTCACCAATTTCAATAGGGTTCGTCCTTGGGCCAAAAAAATATTGTTTGGAAAATTTCATCTCAATCGGATAATAAATGCGACCTGCATTTTGTTCACAAGAATACATGGACAGACGGACGGACGGACGGACGGACGGACGGACAGACGGACTGACATGCATAAATCGACTCAGAAAGTGATTCTATGAAGGTTCTCAAAAGTAACTATGGGTCTATCTCGTTTCCTTCTCCATGTTACAAACAAATGCACAAAGACATAATACCCTTACCACTATGTGGTGTAGGGTATAAAGACTGCAATGATAATATTGCGATGGAGTAGTCAATATTTTTTAAAGTAATTTGTCCTCCTGTAGTTAAAACCTCTTGAGGCTCACGATGTAGCAAAAGGTATTTGGCTTCAACAAAGTAGCCTGTTTTCTTAAATTCGTTCAGTAATTTATATTCTGATTTAATAATACAACTATTAATAATATCTTCAAGAAACGCTATTATTTCAGGTTCCACTACATTATCTACTAATTTATTTCTTAGAATTTTCAGGTACTTTAAGAAACCATTTGCAACATTTCTTATAATTTCTAAACACTTATTTCGAGGAATACTTTCATTACAATAAGCTTTCACAATTTGTTTCAATAGATCAGTTTTCATATTTGTAACTAATTCTATCTGAGATCGCGAACTATTATCGTCAATATTTGTATCTAAGGGGAAAATTCTTCCTAAAGGTTCACTATTTATGTTTGAGTATTCTGATGAACTATCCAAAGAGTTATTAAAGACATTTTTAGGAAAATGTCTTTGCAAATGAAACTTATATGAATCAAACCGATCGTATCTGCGATTGCAATTAGGAAAACAACAAGATATTGACGTTATATGTTTATGATGCCTTCTCATATGTCGGATTAATTCATTAATTGAAATAAATAAATGAGATGAACAAAAACATTTAATATAATCCATTTGTAGATATAAATTTATATATAAAAGTCTTATATAATGAAATAATAATAAAATAATTCATTTTTTTTTGGACGAACATAAAATAATTCTCTTCGAAACTAAAAAAAACAAATCTATTCCAGATTTTCCATACGAAGTTCATTGATTAAGGTACTTACAGCAGGTATTGTCGTATCCCATGGAGTGTTAATTTCATAAATAATATATTGTATAAATGTCCATACGTGTAGGCATGCAGTTGGGTATTTAATATTCATACTCATAAAAGAGTAAAAGCAGGCTTCAACAGCTTTTAAAGGATTTTCAAATTTCAAACGATTTCCACATATATCCACGTATGCAATGGAAATTGGTTTTGTCGTATCGCCAACAAAATAAATTTTGGGTTGAGTATCCTTTTTTAGTCGTTTTATTCGGTTTCTTGTTTCGTCATCTGCCACTTGAATATTCTGTTAGGATGATACATTTTTTTATTAATATATGAGGTATTGTGGAATAAAAGTATATATATGAACCGACCTTGCAGTAATAAATGAATGATTCCAGCGATTCTAACTTGCTGTTCTTCCTGTAGTGTGGTAGAATAAATGGAATAATCATCAACGAAAGAGCAATTTTGCAATCTATTGTAAAAAAAATGTGGATGATTATGTATAGCATATTCTTATATTCATACATACCTTCGTCCTCAGTTCTGTCGATATTCGCTAAAATTTGTAAAACGCTATTCTCTTTTGATTGTTCGGCTTTCAATATTAGTTTTCCATAGAATTGTTTCCATTGGTAAATGCTTTTGGAATTTGGGTACAGTATTTTGAAATCGATTTGAAGCTAGGCGAGAAGTATATGAACAATATTAATCGAAATTTACATAATATTAATAATTCAAAGACTTACCAATTCATGAAAGTTCTCATTAAGATGAATGTTGTATTTTTGTATATAGTCAATAGTACTTAACTCGTTGTTTTGTAATTCGTTTTGTCGATAGGAATGAGATTTAATCCAAAGTTCTCTTGTTTTGTTCCAATCTACATTCGTTGTTTCAAGAATTTTCAATTCATCTGCTGATATGCCAGTTTCGTGATCTTCCGACAATTGCGTATGATTTGCTAAAAGAACGTATTGTTTTTCAAAACATATAAATATTCCTATATTTAAGCATACTCACATTTCTTTTTCACGTTTTCACGTCTATTTATCAGTCCTGCTGCACTTAATTGTGTTCTCTTATTATTGTATGCGTCAAACAATTTACCCTTTGCCAAATGACCTTTTGTAAAGGGTACGTAATAAGTTTCTCTAACTTCCGATGGAAATACTTCTATTATTGATCGGGAAAGTTGTAACAAATCATCTTTATATAAACTGCAAATTGAAAAAGAATCTCTGAATATAAACAAATTGTTAAGTGTTTAGGATTTACATACCGTCTATTCACATTTTGGCTCAGGATATTTGACACTATACTCTTTGCTATAATTGTTCTATCCTTATTTTGCAGACTATTACATTGCAATAATTGCTTAATTTCAGGATATTCTTTTATTTCCTTCGGGAATAAAAAGGGGTTAATAATGACTGAAAGATTTTAAATTAAGAAACATTTTTACATACCTCCGTTGATGGAACAGAAGGATAAGCATTTTTGTCAATAAAAATATTCCCCTGGCTTTGGTTAAAAATATCATCGGTTATACATGTTAAAGTTCTAATAACCTGAGGCTGTGTACTTCCAAATATTATATTTTGTGAACTGGAAGCCTGTGATTCCAATTCATCATTCGAGTCTGAGGTGGAATAAGAAGAATTATCATCTACAACGAAAATTAGTTTAGAAATTACACATTATATTTACATACATATACAGTGGTAGTCACCTAATTAGAACATGAACTGTGGTGAACATTCTTTGAAGTATTTTTTAAAAATAATATAATTCTGAACACTTAGATATACTGCACTTAAGAGGTTTAGTGTGAAAATAGAAAATTATTTTATGCAATTTTTAATAAATAAAAGTTTTTATAAAATAACGTGGAAATATTTACTTTACTGCTTTTTTTGAAAATAGTTTACAGATGAAAAAAAATTTAGTATATCTAAGAGCTCAGAATTATTATTTTTTTTAAACACTTCAAAAAATGCTTACCACAGTTCATGTTCTAATTACGTGACCACAACTTTAAATATATTTAATTTGTGGATACTCACTTATTAAATTTACGTCCAATATAAAATCCGTTGACGATAGATACTGTTCCACCAAATCGGTGAATATGTTTGGTTTTATTAAAAATTTCTTGTTAAAAATTTGAACTTCTTCAGTTGATGGAATATTATAGGTTTCCTTTACTATAATAAATAAAGATGGTTAAATATTTTATTAAAAATTATTTAATAATAAAATAATATGTCAATTTTAAAAATCACATCAATGTCCATGAACCTTCAATGTTCCCAATATTCACGTTCAATTTTGCACTAAAAACATTTTCCCCAAAACGATAATCTCGTTACTTCTCTCTATGCTTTGTTTGTTTTGTGTGTTCAACCACCCAACCTTTTCATGATGAGATGATTCACACAAAACAAACAAACAAAAACATGAAATGTGTTAAAGCGTACGACTGAACATTTTTCTGTTCTTTTTTTGAGTATTGCACTTTTATATGAGATGTATAAAACAAATAATTAACATAATTCTTTAAATTGTTTATAGAGTTTTTCACTTAATATTTTTTATTAGTCACTGCATGATTAATTAGAACTTTCACAATATTAACACTTTTTATACATCTTTTACCTTTATTTATAAACAAATCGTAGTCATTAATTCCATCAAAAACCACTGAAACTATTTCTTTTTTGTTTTGGAATGTTGTTTTCAACAATTTGCGTGAATTCATTTTTTTCTTTTTTTGTGATCCGTCTTCTCTGAATGCCAAACAAAAACTAGCGAGAGGCAGTGAATGCAGAAGCTAATGCAAATGCTCCGAAATATAACGGGATCACAACACTCAACACAAAATATTGTAAACTTTAACAATACATATTTTCAATCCAAAACAAGATATTGTAATTTTTTAAAATACATTTTTTAAAATTGTACAATATATATTCTTAGTTTGAAAATATATATTGTTAAATTTGAAAATATGTATTGTTAAGTTTGAAAATATGTATTGTTAAATTTGAAAATATGTATTGTTAAAATTGAAAATATATATTGTTAAAATTGAAAATATGTATTTTCGAACTAAACAAATATATATTAAAAAGTGCACATGTTTTGAATTTTCTGAAAACACGTGTTTTATACATTTTCAATGTTGTACTTTTCCTTGAAGCTAATTCTGTTACAGTGACTTAGTTACATATATGTACTTTTAATTATTTTTTGCCATTAAATAGAACTTTTACTTTTCTTTTTCAGAAAAAGTCACATTCAAAATAGCTGTAAGCGAACGCGAAATAAACTCACTTAATTTTTATTGTATTTATAGATAGCATGTGTCATTATTTTATGACTCTTTTAATATTTATTGTATTAAGTAAAACTTTTAAATGTTCACTTTTATATCACTCTTAAATTTACGCACGTAGTACTTCTTCGAACTCTCCAATCAAACTAACATGTTTTGACATGCTCAGCTCTCAAGCGCATACAATTTACAATATTATTTTAAAATTCTACAAAATGTATTGTAAATTTATTAGCATGATTGTGAAGACCATTGGTATTGTAAATTATTTTTATCATATTACAAAAATTCGATTTAAATTTTGGAAATTATGGTTGCAGGGAACATAGTATTTTCAAATATGCAATTCACATGTTTGCTACAAACATATAAAAGTTGTGGCAACAATAGTTATGGTTTCTGCAACCATAGTGAAAAATATTTTTTCTCTGCGTGTAGATATAGATAAAGAAAAACAAATTTAAAAAAAAAAAAAAAAAATATTGCACTAATTTAATGCGTTAATAAAAAAAATCATTACAAAAGCAGTAACATGACATGCATACACGAAGGGTTTGTCCTTTGGATTTATTTATTTCATAGCAAATACCAAGCGTGCAGGAAACTGCAATTTTTTTTAAGTAGAGTGGTTTTTCTATAGCAATTAGTGAATTCGAGATAGCAACATACTTCGCCGTAATAAGCGTATTTCAAATAAATTGTTGTGTTGCTTTTTAGTGTTAGCCAAAGGCATTGTGGGTCAATGGTTCTTATTAAAATCATATCCCAATCTGATCCGATTTAAATATAATTTTAAAAAATTACTTTTACACAAAACTCCGCCACACCTTTCATAATTCATTGAAATTGGTGCGTCAAATATGTGAAATCGGCCGAGAATATATATATGGGAGCTATATCCAAATCTTATCTAATTTCCAATTAATTCATCACATTTATTATTATAACCAAATTCCACCACACATTCTGAATTTCATTGGAATCGGTCATATATATCGTGTTTGGTGCATAATATGTATGAAATCGGCCGAAATATATATGTTAGCTATATCCAAACCTCAACTGATTTCAATATAATTTGGCAATTTTTGCTGATGCCAGATTTTGTCTCTCTCGCTCTGGGTGCATAATCACATCTGGGAGCTATAATCACATCTGAGCGTATTTGAATATAATTTGTCAAATTTATTTTTGTACCAAATTTAGCCACTCATGCCGAATTTCGTTGGAATCGGAAATACGTATCGTGTTTTGTGCATCAAATATGTGAAATCGGCGGAAAATGTATATGGGAGCTATATCCAAATCTGAACCGATTTTAATATAATTTGACTAATTTATTTTCTAATCAAAATCCCGTTACATATTCCAAATTTCTTTGGAATCGAACAAACATATCGTGTATGGTGCATAAAATACATGAAATCGGTCGAAAATATATATGAGAGCTATATCCAAATCTGAACCGATTTCAGTATAATTTCAAAAATTCATTTGTGAACCAAATTTAGGCACTCATACCGAATTTCATTGGAATCGGACATGTGTATCGTGTTTGGTATCGAATATATGAAATCGGTCGAAAATATATATGAGAGCTATATCCAAATCAGAACCGATTTCAATATAATTTCAAAACTTTATTTGAGACCCAAATTTATTCATAGGACTCGGACATACGTATCGTGTTTTGTGCATCAAATACATGAAATCGGCCGAAAATATATATGGGAGCTATATCCAAATCTGAATCGATTTCAATAAAATTTGACAAATTTTCCTTTGTACCAAATTTAGTCACTCATACCGAATTTCATTGGAATCGGACATGCGTATCGTGTTTGGTGTATCAAATACATGAAATCGGCCGAAAATGTATATGGGAGCTATATCCAAATCTGAACCGATTTCAATATAATTTGGGAAATCAATTTTTTAGATAAAATCTATCACACGTTTCAAATTTCATTGAAATTGGGTATACATAGCGTGTTTGGTGCATCGAATGCTTGAAATCGGCCGAAAATGTATATGGGAGCTATATACAAATCTGAACCGATTTCAATATAATTTGACAAATTTATTTTAGGATTAAATCCCGTCACACATTCCAATCCAAATTGGGAGCTATATCCAAATCTGAGCCGATTACAGAATAATTTGGCAAACTTATTGTAGTTCCAAATTCCGTTACGTATTCCAAATATTGAGACTGTATCTTCAACCAATCAATAGATATGTGCATATAAAATCTAAATTTTTGGGAGGTACCTCCGATTCTGATGCTATATCTCCAGTTCCAAGTGGAAATTCAAAAATGTATATAGCCTATGTTACTTTCAGGCCATGTTGCAGTATATATGGAAATTTTCAGGAAAATCTATTCAGCGGTTTTCAAGTCCATAAATTACAAACAAACAAACAAACATACAAACATTTTCCTCTTTTATAGATATAGATTAAAATTATATTGAAATCGTTTCAGATTGGAATATGATTTTATTAGGAAACATTGACCCACAACGTCTTTGCAATGGTATAAGGCTAACAGTAAACAAGCAAAATATCTGTAAGTTCGGCCCGGAAGAACTTTGAATGCCCTCCACCATTTGGAACGAATTTGGCACTTTTCAAAAAACTAAAATCCGTTAAAAATTGTGTTAAAATCTTAAAAATACCGAAAGTGTACGAAGACGTGGACCTGCACAGACAGAAATGCCTTTCAGTTCAAAAGATTGCAGTTTCCGGCAAGCTTGCCATTTGCTATGAAGTTAATAAATCCGAAGGACAATCCCTTCGTGTATGCAGACTAAATTTAGCATGTTCCTGCTTTTCTCTGGGTCAGCTGTTCCTGGCATGTTCACGCGTTATAATAATAAAGGTTTTAAAGTTTTTGAATTTGCTTTTTTTATATTTTTTAACCAACAAATATTCATATATAAAATTTTGAATGCATATAAAAGCGAAAGGAGTAGCGAAGCGCGCCGGGTTCAGCTAGTATATATATATATATATATATATATATATATATATATATATATATATATATATATATATATATATATATATATATATATATATATATATATATATGTATATATTTAAATCGGTTGATGTGTAGCTCCCGTATATATTAATATTTCGGCCGATTTCGTGTGTGTTATTCACCAAACACATATATATGACCGATTCCAATGAAATTCAGAATGTGTGGCGGTATTTGGTTACAATAATAAATTAGAAAAATTAATTGGAAATCGCTTAATATTCGGATAAAGCTCTCATATATATATTCTCGGCCGATTTTACATATTTGACGCACCAATTTCAATGAAAAATAGCCTGATCTTATTTTTCAGCTATAGGCTTTAATTTGAGTGTTAAATACCTATATGCTAAAGAACATCTATAAAAGCCCCATGTGAAAATTTTGCTCAATTTTTGGTATTGTAAAAAGCATTCAAATGAGCAATAATTTGAATTTTGTATTTCCAACGTTTAAAATCCCGTACTGCGTGGTATTTAGTTTTGTCCACCTCATACTTGAAGGCAGAATGTTGTCAGAATAGCCAAAAAATTACTCTTTTGCTCCGATTACCGTAAGATGGGCATTAATTGTTTGTCATTTAAATTGTGCGGTGGAGATCCAATAAAGTTACTTTATAATTTCGTATTTTTTTCATGTTTCTGCCACAATTTTCGACTGAATGAGTCCCAGATTGACATTTCGGAGTTTATTTCACATAGACGTACATCCCAAATCTACGTTCCCAACCAATATTCTCTAAGGGGTTACAAATTCAATAGAATACTAAATTTTCTTTTCTGACCACACATTGCTTGGGAAAGTGGACTTGGGGGTATACTAGTGTGGGGACTATACTTAAATAAATGCCTATGTGGATAATTATCTGTAAGATGATTTTCTACCCCAGGGTTTTTTTACCCCAGGTAGCCTCAAGACTAAGACGCGTCCTTTTCCGAAAAATAAAAATTTTATAAGAAGAGATTTTCTTCCCCCTTAAAAACAAAGATGTCAAATAAGGGCCAAAAAATTTAAAAAGTTGCCAAGATGTAGCGTGCTGATTTCATCACGTACATTTATACGAACAAACAACCGCACCTATTACACAATGAGAACAACAACAGCGGCCACTGCAAGTGTGACGCTAACAGCACCAACCAACCACCACCACCATGCACACACGACTCGGTCATACGCAGTCAACAAGGCGGTCACATATAGTGTTCGGTTTGAGGTGCGATAAAGCAAGGCTCGCTACTGCAGGAGCTTGCCAAAGGGTAGCTAGTGATTTTCTAAAGATCATCGGCCGTCCTCCGACTAATAACAGGGTTATTCGGGAATACTTTTCCAAGGCTGGCTCTCATTAATTTGAGTGGCTGGTAATTTATTTACACAGGAGTTTCGGCTC